AAATGTCGTCAGCTTTGTAACAGAAAATCTTTGAACTCCTATTCTTCTTTAGCCAAAAAATGGTCGAGTGCACAGGGTTAAGATATATAAGAAAGTTTGTATGGTATGTTCCCATGGTCATGTTCCATAAGTATATTAACTATTCTTGTAAATAAATTCACCTAATTCCATAGCAACTGTTTTGCATCAAAACAATTTGCATTCAGACGTCACGTACACACGAAAAACACTGAACATGCTAGCCATGAAAGCATACCCAACCGACTATACAATCAACGTCAATCAATCTCACTAAACGGCATGCACTGTACTGGTATTATAAAAATACGTAAACATGTAATGTAATAAATGTTATTAATTTTTCTTACAGAATTTAATTAACATTATTTAATTTTCAAATCGAAATTTGTAAAACCAAATAAACGATAAAACAGTACTTCAATATCTTCATGTTCAAAAGAATAATTTTGAATAATTTCTTTACATGGTACAGTAGGACAACACGAGGTACCTAATATATAATATTTCACCAACTGCCATAAAGTCAAAGGATAAAAAAGGCTTTGGATACCGCCAAAAATCTTATCTGGACCTTACATACTAAGGCACACACTAACACACGAAATGACGATCTTCTATTAAAAAAATTAAAAGATTCAAAAATAAATAAAATTTTTCAAACGTTTTAATTCAACTGGTTTTACCACAAAAATAAAAGTAAAACAAGGTATTCACGGTAAGCGACGAAATGATAGTACACCTCGTAATTTATAGTGTTTCTTGATATTAATATAATATAATATATGCTATAAAAAGAATTCCTGATAACACAGGAATTAAGTTTATTATTATTATTATTATTTATTATTAAATTCCTTAATAACATAGGAGGAGATAAAATTTCTTGTACAAATTTTATCTATTTATCTGAAAAAGGAAAATTATAACACAGGAATGAATAAATAGATAATTTTGATTTTTATTACTCAAGAATGTGAAGATTCCATAGGGAAAAATTTTAGAAATTTCAATTTTTACTATATTAACGAAAATTTTCCAAATATAGGCACCTATATCAACAAATTTAGTCAAGGGTATAATGCTAATCTTTCTAATGAAAAATTAAATCTTATTTTTAGTCATATAATTTTCTGTTTCCAAAATTGACCACTTTGAAGTTCCACGGGAAACACTAAAAATTATAGGTTATGCTATCGTATTTTTGTTTCAAGTACTGTATCTAAAATCATATAAAATTCAGTAAAATTATAAATAAATTACCTCGATAATAAATGAGAAACTTACTTTACTAAGTAAATAAAAATATTTATAAATTTAATTTAACGTAACTATTTAAAAGCATATTTAACCTTATATTAACTTACACCCTTCTTTTACCCTATTTTCATTCTCCACCCTCGTTTCACCTAATTTTATATCTGAAATCTTGACACTTTTCTATTTCGTGGAATAATGCTACCACTCGTCTAATTGAAATATCGATTTCTTGCATAACAACGGCATTCAATTTATTTGCATTAAGAAACGCGGTCAACGCCACAGAAGACACAAAGGGGTGAATCGAAATGAAAAGCCATAACATGCTATTGAAACGTCCACCACGGTGTAGCCATTGTTACCCCCACCCTCTGCACAGTTAATAAACATAGATAAATACATTTCGGAAGATGGAACGTCACGAAATCTCGGCGGCCAAGCGGCATAGTTATTCATACATAAATTAGAAGCGTGAAATGAATACCGAGGGTGTGTTTAATTAAATTTGTGTCGTGATGTACGTGCCAGTTATTACAAACCGCTCCCGCAGGTGCTCCCCTTGAGTAAAATTACGTGTTTATAAGTTTTCCACTGTTAATATCTCCTTAGTAGGAGTATCCGGCGGCTCGTTAATTTATTTTTACGGAAATTTAAGCAAAGAAGGGGGGAAAAAGGTGGGAAAAGAAGAGGCGAGAACGAATATTTGAGTCCGTTGGCCGTGGCGGCATTTTATCGCGGACAAGGGGTTATTACGTTGAAATTTCAAACGCTCGAGTAAATATAATAGATTACGCTGGTGTATACAATAACGTCCGCTTAAATGACCCGAGTTAAGGGCTGAGCGTGGCCATTTATGCGGAGCGGTGGAATTTCGTGAACCAGGCCCTGTTATCCGACTCATTTAATCCGTCGTAGAATATGTTGAGAGTGAGAGATGCAACTGGAATGTTTGAATAATACCGAATTGTCCTTTATCCTGTGTAACTTTTAATCCTTTCGGTCTGACAGATGTACATCGTAAGTGAATACTGCGCGTCAATATAATTCATCGTATGTACTTGATCAGTATATTTATACACGATAGCATTCGAATATCTACATTTACTTCATTTAAAGAAAAATGTTCAACCCTCTATCTTATGATTTAAGTTCCAATCGCGCGTGTCATAATGAACACATTATGTTGGTCGTGGAGAAGAGTAACACTTAACTGAGGTAGAAAAACATCAACGAAAATTAACTACCAGCCTGAATCGTGTTATTTACGTTGGTCCCATCAACAAGTCGCGCCTTTCACGAATTTCCTTACCAGAAGTCTCTGGTAATATTGTAATGATAAAAATAATGCAGTATTTATGGTGCATTTATTACATAAATATGCATTATCTGTGAGTTACAAGACTGTTTGAACACGATTTATAATATTAGTTCGAAATATTATTAATTGAAACACAAAAGGTTTCAATATATTGTCGATTCACCTTTTGGTAATATGGCGGCCTTAAGACGCTAACACACTAGCGCCACCACGCTCCGTACTTACAAATGTAGTCTAAATATCATATATATCGAAAAATCATTTCTCTAATTTTATTAATGCAATATTATATGGAACTTTTCCATTTGCCATATTTATTGTTTGTATATAATATTGTTCCAATTTTTCTATACCATATTGTTTCACTGTTTCTATATAATATTATTTCAATTTTTCTACATCACATAGTTTCCTATAGTTTGTTCCCATATCATTTTATTTTGCATTGTTTCGTCGTTTTCATATAATAGTCTGCCAATTTTTGCAGAGAATTATAAATAAATAATTGCCACAATAAAGCTTAGTTTAATAAAAACATATCGATACATTTGTAACTTCGTTACCTTTCAAAAGTAATTTATAGTCTACGAGTCGGGATAAAATCCAGGATATAACTAAAAGCCCAAAGGGTAAACCTAAGATGAAAACCGTGACAACGTGACTTATTCTCCTACGTCAACTACTGAGAAGCTAAAAGTAGAAACTGCAGGAGCATTAAACGTGGAGTCAGGCGAAGCGGAGTACCCATCATGCCCCTGTACCGTCCCACTAGCCATCGTCTCGCCCCTACGCAGTACAATGATCTCGCTTTTATCTACTGATTTACTCGTCATGAAACATACTATGTAAACTATACACCAACGTAATCCAATCTGTTTACAACGTGTTGGAAGAAAAAGGATTGCAAACAAAGGAGAAACGACTGCTCGATCGCGAAGACAACGCGGGGTCTTTAACCTGGTGGAAATCCTCGCCATCCGGATGAACGGAATCAGGTTTTAATCCAATAAATTCGACGGTTAGTTACGAAATTTCTACGAATTAAATTGAACGGCTTATTACTTTCAGGTTCCAATGTAATAAGGGACTTTCCACTTTATAATCGCGCGCCACCAAAAGTAACATCCGCAAGTTTCTCACGGGGCTATGTGTACAGAGAATATAATTTTCTCGATAAATTCAAGTTACACAAGCAATCCCCCATGGGGATGGGGATGGGTAGAGGCCAGGCAAAAAGTACCAGCGGCCAGTGCTTTGAAAGTACGAAGTTTTAACTTTATCTCAAGCTGCCTACCGGAGATTGCAAATATACGTCTCGTTTCCTAGAATCTCGTTAGCGCGATATTTTCCAGAATTTAATTTGAACGATCTTCGAGGCGGCACGGTATTAGCCAGGGATTAAGTTTCCTTTTGGAGGACCGATTTACCACCACCGAAATTCTGAAGTATATTAGGAATTTATACGATACTGTGTAGTAGGGATTGTTCCAGGCTTAAGTGACTACGGTATACGGATTCTCATCAAAGATTTCACCTTTGAAAAATATCACTCTGAAAATCTCAATTATGGATAGAATTCCATACGTACGTGCGATTATGAAGACAATTGTTTAACTTTGATATATGATCCTGATCCATCTTTTTACACGAAAATGTTTTACACCATTTTAAAATTATACGATCTTTTAAAAGGATTGACTCATTGTTATATCATATTTCTGATAGATCTTCTGATTTCTCAATTGCTTATTAATTTTTCTCCAGCATCTTACTGCAATCGTTTAATATCTTATATTTATTTGATAATAAAATATGAAATTATGTACTGTAATAATTAAATAATTTTCTCTAGTAAATGCAGTATTTCTCATGTCTTATATTACTTTTTGCATAGTAATTTCTTTAATTAACTTTGATATATGATCCTGATCCTTCTTTTTACACGAAAATGTTTTACATCATTTTAAAATTATACGATTTTTTTTAAAGGCTTGACTCACTGTTCTATCATATTTTTGATAGATCTTTTGATTTTTCAATTGCTTATTAATTTTTCTCCAGCATCTTACTGCATTCGTTTAATATATTATATTTATTTGATAATAAAATATAAAATTATGTACTGTAATAATTAAATAATTTTCTCTAGTGAATGTGGTATTTTTTATGTCTTATATTACTTTTTGCATAGTAATTTCTTTCATCGTGTAAAAGAAGGATCAGGTGTATTTGTGTTCACGAGTATAATCGTTAAAATATTTAAAAAATATTCGTGAATCCTTGATAATTTTGTATTTGTTAATTTTTTCTTTTTTTATTTGCTGTTAAACGACCAGTGGATTGAAATGTCAGTGATACGTTGGAAACAAACAAAAGCTTTCAGTCTACACGAAATGCAAAAATTCTACTCACCACCCAAGTCGGCGAAGAAGACTTCACGTAGTGCCAGAAATTCCTCCTCCGGTGTAATAACAGCGCTTCCAAAACAGTCGTTTTCGGGCCAGACTTCTCTGCAAAACGATTTCCCATATTGAGCCAAGTTCTCTTATTGTTACAGTAAAACGTGCGAAACTAATAATTTTGTTCCTTATTAAATTATATATATTATATCTCCAGAAATATTATTCCACATTATTGCAATTTTATTACTTTTTCTTATACGATTTGGATACAAAATCTTTAATAAAATAGAATAAAAACGTCACAGAGTACGTTGTCTCCTAGACTATCGAAAGAGAAAATTTCTTACACAAAATTAGTTTAAACTTTTGACCAGAATATCTATTCTTTGTAATAAAAATTTTGTTTAGACGTTAGAAAAAAATTGGAGAGTGTAAATAGTTATTTCAAGTCGAAAATTAATAAGTGAGCCTCTCAGTTGTCAGGTCGATCAGCTCGACAAAATAAAAAGGTAGAAATTTATTCAAAATATAAGAAGTTGAACGTGATTCGAGTGCTTTGATACCAAAAGTTTAAAAAATCCAAAAAGTGGAGTTAATCAGCGTGGCCTGGAAACTCGAATGACGAAATATGAGACTTATAATTAGAATGTCAAGAAGTCTCGCTAAAAAATCCAACAAAAGTAACAGCATATAAATAACCACTATTAAAAAAGTCCAGTAAAGCGAAAATTTTATGAACAACCAAATTTAATAAAAGCAAACAAATTTACATTAACATCAAATTAACTAAATAACTTAAAACGTACCCTAAGAAGTAAATAATCAAACATGATTATTTGCTAACAAAATATAATTTTCAAACTTCTTTCCTGAATCTCGAATAAAAACATGCTTCAAAAGATGGATCCACAGAGACCTAGATAGAGGGAATTTAAGAAATACCCTCCAACTGTGTGTTGCGTTCTATTTATCGAATCCCTTCGAAGTCTTAGAACGCTTATCATGCGCCAAGATAATATTGTATGACTAGTTTGTGATAATAAGGATCCCGAAGTGCGCGTTGATAAAAGAGAGCGTTTATTTATAGAAAAGTATAGAATAGTTATAATGAAGACGTTGAACGGAGTACCGTTTCGAACACGCGTTTATACGTGTAAGTAAGATGTTTCAAGGATCGGTGTCGAAGACGAACCGATTTCTCGAATTTGATCTATGTCGTGTCTCGTCGTGTCCTGTCCGGTGTTTTCTCCAGTTTAGTTCCGATTGGGCAAAATAAACGTTGGTGGTGGAAAAGTAAGGAGTTTTAATTGGACAGAGGGTGTGACGGAAGGACCTTTGGCTAAGGAGTAGGAAACTGTCAAGGAGCCGATTTTTGATGGTCAATGACGTGATTTATAAGCGGTGTCCGTCCGTCGCTTGTTGGGTCTGTCACACGTGGGTCCCATCTGTCGAGTCTGGTACTTGTAAAAATTCCTAAACTTTCGCCTTTACCTTTACAACTTAATCCGCTAGAACGGCGGTGAGGCACATCTATCCTCCGGAATTGCAGTCGCGATATAAAATATATTGTAAACCGTTAGGTCTGTTAAAAGTGTAAGCCTTCGAATAAAAATCATGTTATAAACACGCTCTCCGGGACGGTGATTAAAAACAGTTTTGCTGGCGATCAGTTGTTCCATGCAAAGCGTCATTGCAAGAAGCAGGACGTGTGTCACGAAACTAGATTAGAGTGATTAAACAAAGCGAGACACTTAATGACGTGTTTCATTATCTTGAGTAGCGTACGCAGCAAAGACACGGAAGAGACGACGAAGAGCAGCGAAAGGGTAAGGGAGAAGAGGTCCGAGTGGCAATCTCAATGGGTCTCGTAGAAGGCTCCCTTGAGCACGAGAACCTCACCGCGATCTACACCAACATCCGGCTGCTTGCGTCGAGTGTTCACGCCCAACCCTCCATTTTTCCATCCACCTTCGACCACCGACGTCGTCGCTGTACATGCATAACCACTGCCAAGTGCCTGTGTTCTAAAGTATCCGACGAAAGAAGGTGGCGAAGTCAGCTCGGAGCTAGGAAAATGAATAAAAAACCGGAGGAAGAAAGATTCTTGAGGAGACGATGGCTCAGATGCCTCGCGATCCAATCAAATTTCATTCGATTTATTCCTCACGCTTGTGTCAGATGGAACGCTACCCTATCCATGTCCTAGCTCGATGCAAATCCTAATTTGCGCAATATTCCACAGGCAGAGGCGTACAATTCCTTTCTTCTTTTAATTGTAAATTGAATTTGCTATGATGATTCAAGAGATGATTGTATTCTCAAAAACGAAGCATTGAATAAAATAGTGTTTTATCAAATTACTATCGTATTTTTTTAAGTAAGATTACACCTTGCCACAATACTATAATTTATATATATAATTCTATTTATTAATTTAATAATTAATATA